TGAATTTGCACTTGTAGATGAACCATGCTTTTCATCTTTGGTTTCTCACCAGATTTACACTAAACATATTTTCTAAAATAAACCCTTCATTAAAATTTGGCTGGCAGGACTGCTGGTCTATGTGTCTGACATGCAAGGCTGATTTCCATTTCACTAATTACTCTGCAGCATCAAATGAAATAATTAGGTACATCTTGCTGTCGCTGTGATTTGTCAGATAGCTGAGTTTTCTACTTACGAAAATTTACACTTGTATTACGCTGATGGCCAGGCGACACAGATTATTATTTCAATGACAGAAATAGGCAGCACTTATGACAGTTTGTGCTGTTCTATAGAATGACATATTAATTACATCCGAAAAGTTGGATGAACATGCAGCGCAAGCAGAATAATAGATACAGCGCTTCGCACACTATAATTACAAATTAAAGGCACACTTCATGAAAAGTTTGCTTTAAAGGGAACCTGTCAGAATAAACATATAGGTGCTGCTGTTGCTGATCTGTTTGTGAAAGTGCATGCCCCCCCGGATCTGATCCTAGCTTCACTATTTAGTGTGTCTCTGACCCAGGACATGAGCATATTAGGATTCCCGGCACCTAATACAAACCTGCTTGTTCTAGGTAAGTAACTAATGCAGGCCATAGACGGGGAGAAAACCGGCCATTTTTTTTTTAGAAAAACGGAAAATCGGTCATTCAATCGGCCGACGTTACCACCATTGGTAAAAAAAAAAGTTGGCTGATTTTCGTCCCATCTACGGCCGGCAAATATAATAGCGGTGTCCCTGCAGAAAGCTCCGCTATTGTATTTGACAGAAGAAATGGAATATGAATAAGTAAAAGAAGAAATAGAATATGAATAGGAAGAAGAAAAAGTTGCAACATTGTATCTATTTGTATCCATTTTGGATACAGATGTTTCTATTCGGATACAAATAGATACAATGTTGCTATACTTTTAATTGTCAAATATAATATCGGACTGAAATTCTTCTTTTCTTCTTCTTATTCATATTCTATTTGTTCTTTTTCTTCTTCTTCTTATTCATATTCTATTTGTTCTTTTTTTCTTCTTCTTCTTATTCATATTCTATTTGTTCTTTTAATTCTTCTTCTTATTCATATTCTATTTGTTCTTTTTCTTCTACTTCTTATTCATATTCTATTTGTTCTTTATCTTCCTCTTCTTATTCATATTCTATTTGTTCTTTTTCTTATTCATATTCTATTTGTTCTTTTCCTTCTTATTCATATTCTATTTCTTCTTTTCTTTTCCCTTCTTCTTGCTGGTCACTGCTCATGCACATTTCTTAAAATTGGTAAAAAGATCGGCCGATTTGTCCATCATTACCGTGAAAATCGGCTGAATGACAAAATTGGCAGATTTTTTTTCCAACATGACCGACAAAAAAAAAGTGTCAAAATCACAAAAAATGGCTGACCGATTATCCCACTAACGATCCGAAAAACGGCGATTTTTTTTTTTTTTTTTCGGCCAAAAAATCTGCCGGTTTTCTCCCCGTCTATGGCCTGCATAAGGCTGACCATACATGGGTCAAAAATCGACCAATTTTTCAATAATTGGCCAATTTTTGCTCTGTTAGTGGGTCAATGGCACCGGCCAATTTTCGTGGTTCCTCCCCTTTCCGGTAATCGGGCATGTTGGAAAATTCACGAAAAACTACCGATTTTCGACTTGATGGTCAAATCATACGATCGTTTTTCCGAAAAGAATATGCGCATGAGCAGTGATCTGGAAGGAAAAGAAGTTTTGCATGTTTATATGGGGTGAACTTTATGACTTGGTTGGCCGAAATCAATGATGGCTCCATCGGATTACCAAGCGAACGGTGTTTCCGATTTTCGGACGAAAAATCATTCGGAATTCGAACCATGCATGGCCTGCATTAGGTATCTAAGGCATATAACTAACAAAATAGATGGCTAAGGATAATCTGGAATTTGCAACTGCAATGGCAAGTCAGCACTGGCAAATCTAAAATTTCTTCTCTGACAGGTTCCTTTTAATTTTCCACTGTAAGGAAATGTCCAGTAGGTACAATTCTAAAGCCCTCCATTACAGATGAATTCCAGGCAGATATATACTACACAAATAACACAGCTCTGTATTCATGAATACGTCATCATTGTTTTTTTTAAATGAAATTAGTGTAAATTTGTATTTGACTTGACAGCTATTAAATTCTGCACAGCCAACTGTTAGTGGTATTATAACAAAGTGGAAGCAACTGGGAACAACAGCAACTCAGCCACCAAGTGGTAGGCCATGTAAAATGACAGAGCGGGGTCAGCGCATGCTGAAGCGCACAGTGCGCAGAAGTCACCAAGTGTTTGCAAAGTCAATAGTTAAAGACCTCCAAACTTCATGTGGCCTTCAGATTAACACAACAACAGCATGTAGAGAGATTCATGGAATGGGTTTCCATGGCCAAGCAGCTGCATCCAAGCCTTACATCACCAAGTGCAATGCAAAGTGTCGGATGCAGTGGTGTAAAGCACGCCGCCACTGGACTCTAGAGCAGTGGAAGCGTGTTCTCTGAAGTGACGAATCACGCTTCTCTGTCAGGCAATCCAATGGACATGTCTGGGTTTGGCAGTTGCCAGGAAAACGATACTTGCCTGACTGCATTGTGCCAAGTGTAAAGTTTGGTGGAGGGGGGATTATGGTGTGGGGTTGTTTTTCAGGGGTTGGGCTTGGCTCTTAGTTCCAGTGAAGAGAACTCTTAAGGTGTCAGCATACCAAGACATTTTGGACAATTTCATGCTCTCAGCTTTGTGGGAACAGTTTAGGGATGGCCCCTTCCTGTTCCAACATGACTGCGCACCAGTGCACAAAGGTCCATAAAGACATGGATGAGCGAGTTTGGGGTGGAGGAACTTGACTGGCCTGCACAGAGTCCTGACCTCAACCCCATAGAAGAACTTTGGGATGAATTAGAGTGGAGACTGTGAGCCAGGCCTTCTCATCCGACATCAACTCATCCGACATCAATGTCTGACCTCACAAATGTACTTCTGGAAGAATGGTCAAACATTCCCATAGACACACTCCTAAACCTTGTGGACAGCCTTCCCAGAAGAGTTGAAGCTGTTATAGCTGCAAAGGGAGGGGACAACTCAATATTGAACCCTACGGACTAAGACTGGGATGTCATTAAATTTCATGTGCGTGTAAAGGCAGGCATTCTAATACATTTGACATTATAGTATATATATATATATATATATATATATATATATATATATATATAATTTAGGTGTGGCCTAACTAAAGTTCAGCTTTTGATAAATAAAGCATAAATAGAAATTCGTTCTTTAGAAAATTAGCCCCTCTTTGGCAAACTTCATGGGCAGCACAGTGCCTAAACGGTTAGCACTTCCACCAAACAGTACTAAGATCATCGGTTCGGAACCCAACCACAGCATGACCTCCCTGGAGTTTGCATGTTCTCCTATTGCCTTTGTAGGTTTCCTCCCACACTTCAAAGACATGCTGGTAAGTAAATTGGCTACTGTCTAAATTGGCCTTAGTTTTGTGTACGTATGAACATGAGTTAGGGACCTTAGGATGTAACCTCATCAAGGACAGGGACTGATGTAACTGTACTATCTACTCTATGTTAAGTGCAGCATAAATTAACAACGCTACATAAGTACCTGTAATAAATTTATTGGCAAAGTCCCAGGACAGCATTAGCAGTTGACCAACTGATTTTATTTGCCTATTTTTTTTTATCCTTGATTTCTAGTTGCCTCCTGCGCTGATCCATCACTGCAATGGATGGCCCCATTGACCTCCAGAGAGGTGCCCTCAACAAAGATAAGAGAGACCATTGGAGCTCTCAAGGTTTTGGAGCTCCGATAATCCTGAACATAGCTGTAGGTGTGGGCTGGTAACTCTCTATGGTAGTTGTACTGCTGCTTAAGCATTTAAGAATTGACAGGTGTGCTTTAAAAGCTGAAACATATAAACAATACATGATTGTTTAGGAACCAGTTTGGTTGCACAGTGCAATAAAATGACAGTAAAATATTTCTCGGACACAATGTAAATTAAGCACCATAAGCTACTAGTACATATGAGGAATGTAGAGATGTAGCGATCTGGGTGTTGAATACACTAAGCCCACACCTGATGATCCCACCATGCTGGCCTCCCTTCACTCAGTCATTTATAAAAGGCACCAAGACTTCACTGCCCTTATGCCACCCAGCCTGCTCTGTGGCCATATTTTTTTACGGGTGGCCGCTGTCCATAACAGACATTTATGGACAGTTTCTAAATCACCAGAAATGTACAAACTGTCTGTAAATTTATGGATGGTTGGCAACCCTGATTTACAGTGACTTATAATTACTGGGCAATATTTGGGTAAGCAGTGCAATGGGCAACGATGAACTCATCACATAAAGAAAAACTTTTGCTCCAGTCAAAAAATAGTTCATATATAGAAACTATTAACCACTTGCCTACAGGGCACTTATACCCCCTTCTTGCCCAGGCCAATTTTCAACTCTCAGCGCTGTTGCACTTAGAATGACAATTGCGCGGTCATGCAACACTGTACCCATATGAAATTTTTATCATTTTTTTTTTTAGACAGATAGAGCTTTCTTTTGGTGGTATTTAATCAACTCTGGATTTTTTATTTTTTGCTAAACAAACCAAAAACAACTGAAAATTTTGAAAAAAAAAGTTTTTTCTTAGTTTCTGTTATAAAATTTGGAAATAAGTGATTTTTCTCCTTCACTGATGTGTGCTAATGAGGCTGCAGTGATGGGCACTGATAGGCTGCACTGATGGGCACTGATAGGCAGTGATGAGGAAGCACTGGTAGGTGGCACTGATGGGCATTGACTGGCATCACTGATGGGCACTGAAAGGCAGCACTCGTATATGACACTGATAGGTGGCACTGACTGGCATTGATAAGCGGCACCGACTGGCACTGTTAGGAGGCACTGATAGGCAGCACTGATGGGCACTGATAGGCAGCACTGATGCACACTGATAGGTAGCACTGACTGGCACTGATAGGTGGCACTGATTGGCAGCACTGATAGGCGGCACTGACTGGCATTGATAGGTGGCACTGACTGGCACTGATAGGTGGCACTGAAAAGCAGCTCAGATGGGCACTGATATGTGGTATTGATGTCCACTGGTAGGCACTGATATGTGGCATTGATGTGGCACTGATGGGCACTGGCAGGTGGCATTGGTGGTTAGAGTGGGAGGACGTCATATGACGTCCTCCCAGAATGAGAGAACTGCCTTGCGCCCGTCATTTCCTTATATGGCGGGTGGGAGGCGGTTAAAGTAGAGCTACTGTAAATGCTAATTTTTTTTTTTTCATTTTGAATAGTATAGGAAAGGGTAACGCCATTAAAGAGTGCAACCATTCTGTTATTTTCGTCTTGACAAACGGTGTCTTGTAGATTTGGCAGCAGACAAAAGGATCAGCAAAGTACAACCAATGTATAACATTACCAAGCTTACGTATGTAAGGCCTCATACACACAGAGTGTTTTAACAGCCACATTTTATGGGCGTCAGGCGTTTTTTTTTTTTTTACTGCTTCCAAACGGCACTCTATGTTATCCTATGTGTCCATGCACATATAGACTTTTAGAAACTTTTACTCGCAGTAGCGTTTACCAGCAAGAAAAAACCCCCAAAGTTGTTCATGCACCAATTTTGGAACCGCACTACAACCGGATCTCATGGTCATTGTGTATCATGTGATCCAGTGCAGGCAAATGCACTGCATTTGCGACCTATATTGGGGGTGTTGTTAAAACTGCACTGATACCACTGCAGTTCACAAGGGCAGTGCAATTTGTTTGCGATGCTGGAATAGCGCATGGATTTTGGGTTTCCCACACCGCATTCTAGTGTGAACCTAGACTAAAACCTGGCAGTTGCGCTGGTTGGCCCTATGTTAGGTAAGTAGAGAATACAGAGTTATTTACAAACTTTATATTTAATTGAGAACTTGATTTGTTTTAAAGTGGGGGACAGCAACCTGTAGATCGCAATCTACCAGAACATCGCAGCCAGGTGACTGGTAGATCGTGGTGTGGGCTTGCTGACCCACCATCCCAGAGCATGAAACAGAGTGCAGTGCAGAGGGAGTACTTGTAAAGTTGGATCTGTAGTAGGGAGTAAGAGCCGTATAAGCTGATGCCTCCTCTGTAGTGCCGGCTCCTGTCCCATGAGGAGTGATACCAACTGCACTCCACCTCTTATCCCGGCTAGTGGTCTCCAGAGTGGTGCCAGCAGCAGGAAAGAAGAGATCTTCAGGTCAGTGTGAAGCATTATATTGGGCATAATAGTATAGGGCTGCTTTCACACTGATGTTCTGCGGTTTACCTACACTGCGGATGCAGTGCATTGTAAATGCAGCTTTCCTGCGGGTTTGCTGTGCTTAACCATAGACTTCTATTATATCCTGAGTTTTGGTACGCTTTCAGACAGTGCACCACATCCGCAGCATATAATAGAAGTCTATGGCAAAGCACAGCTAATCCAGGAAAGTCGCAAATTCACCCGCTGTGCATGTACACCGCAGCACATGTGAAAGCAGTCTTATAGGGGACTCAGAACAGTAAGGGTTTATTTACATTTGCAGTTTGGGGGGTGGTAAAACCCCATAGTTAAGACGGTTTTTTACCAACCGCAACGGAACCTCCTTTAGCTGCAGTGGCCAGGGGTGTACAAATGTCTCTGCCGCAGCAGGGGTTATACGCCCTGTCATGGTTGGTCGGTGTAGCACTGCACTGCAAGTGCCCTGCAACCTTGTGCGGTACGGCAAACAAGGGGTTGAAGCAGGCAGCGTTGTGTTGCTTTCTCACCACCTGCTTTAACCCTTTGGACCCCAGAGAAGCATGCATTTGTAGGGCACTTGCAGAGTGGCCCCATTTATTTGAATGGGTCGTGACTGGCAGACGGCAGCACCCACCAAAAGCCACATTGGGTTTAATTCCTGCTGCAGCGTGTACACCTTTGGCTGTTACCTCAGCAGCTAACAGGAGCAGGGACTAGGGATGGTAAAACCACAACTCAATCGCAGGGTTTTACCACTTCCCTAAGGGTGTCGTTGCCGAATGCAACTAAGGGCTCATTCACAAGTCCTCTAAAAAGCGATTCCCCCACCCCCCAACTTTAAGCGTGAACAAGCCCTAAGGGTGCTCCTCTGAAGAGTGATCCAAATGTCTTTGACAGGTGGCGAGGAGGTGATATTTTGCCTCCTCACCACCTGATTTAAACCCATTATTTCTGTGCAATGCATGCAACTGCGCCACAGTAGTAGGGCAATTAAAAATTGTAATCAGGTGTGAGGAGATGGCACTTGGCGACACTGTGCCCGGTGATCTTTGACTTCTCCCATGTTGTTCAGGCAGCTCTGCTAAAGATATGTACATGTGAAAGGGATGCTCAGTTTGTGTGAGAGATGGAAGCAAAGGCCATGCTTTTGCTGTCTAGGATACAGTAATAATATTGGCTGGAAACCCACCTGGAATACTTTACAAAGAGACTTTCCTTTTATCACATCTATTTTGTGATTTTTTTTTTTTTTTTTTCATGAACATTGAAGATACCCTGGGGGTGTATCATACTAATTCAGAAGTTATTAATGTCCTATTATATCTATCGTTATGTGATCGTCTGATGGCGCTCGAGGACTGGGATTTTCCCGATTGGTTTGAAGCTGCATAGAATATGTCCTCCCCCATTTGATTGGATTCCAATTGGCCTCCCCACAGCCTGGATAGATGAGACGACCCTCCTCTGTGTGCTTGTTTCTGGTTCAATCTCTTTTGTTAATCAACAGAAGATCTGTATGTACAATATGTCATATGGAAATATGAGGTCCAGGAGAAGCGTTTTTTTTGACTGCGAAATTCGTTGACAGTGTAACCTATAACATTACTGTTTTAATGAATAAAAAAGTTTTCATTGTGAATATGCTGATATGATTCATACCTTTTGTAAACCCTTATGTCTGGGTATTTTATGAGAATCTTGTATATAAAGTTTTGGTATTTTATACTATATTTGTATTTTTGATTGTTTACCGGTAGACTACCCGTTTTTATTTGTTTCCATTTTCCTGTTCAGGTAGATTTCTACCTCTTTAAGGATGCCTACTCTTTAAAAAAAAAGTATACTTCTGTGCTTAGGATAAACCTGCAAGGGAATTTATTGTTGTAAGCTGCTTGTACCCTCAGAGGCCTTCATGGTTTCCATACACTGCCCTGGAAGCATCTAAACCCATGGCACACTGATATGTAAATGGTCAATCTAACTAATATCACTGATTGTCCCCAACCATGCTTACATCTCCTAACTGACCAGTAAGGCCACCCATCCAATTAGAGAATAGGCCAATCCAGAGGTACAGTATTGGGTGCAGATAAGTGCCACTTTCAACTAGCAATCAATATTTTCATAGTTGCTGGGTTTTTTTTTGCCTTCCTCTGGATCAACTGTCGGTGTAGGATTATAACTTTTTTTCTATGGTTGAACTGGATGGACTTTTGTCTTTTTTTTCAGCCAGACTAACTATGCTACTATATAGTAAAGTGTTCCAGGTTTAGAGATCTTCAGGAGAATACAAGCTCTAATACAGGAACTGCACTGTGCATTAAGGTGCATCAAATGTGTGAACAGGACCTTAACATGCTCAATTAACGCACGCACTTATATTCCTTAAAATGGGACATCAGCTAATAAGCCCTTCAATATCTGATGCCCTAAAAAATATTTTTGACTTGTTTGCCAAATTGGTTATTGTTACTGTAATACAGGGGGAGGCAACCTTAAAGAGGTGGAGATCTACCTGAACAATACTGGAGATGGCAAAGATCACCGGGCACAGTGTCGCCCTCACATCTGCTGGCACCTCTCTGGAGACGGCTAGCTGGGATAAGAGGTGGAGTGCAGTTGGTATCTCTCCGTATGTGATAGGAACCGGCACTACAGAGGAAGCATCAGCTTATGTGGCTCTTGCTCCCTACTACAGATCCAATTTTACAAGTAGTCCCTCTGCATTGCACTCTGTTTCATGCTCTGGGATGGCGGGTCAGCAAACTCAGACCCTGATCCACCAGTCACCTGGTCGCTATCTACTGGTTGCTGACCCTCGCTCTAGTAGTATACCCATCCAAGTGCAGTGGATATTTCTATGGCATACTTACTTCTATAAATACATCAGTGGTTCATATAGTGAACTCGGTGTAGAGTTAATCACCCCCTGAGGTCATCACAGAGGACAAGGGGGCACTCTTTACGTCTAGAGGAAAAGAAATTTAATCTCCAAACATGGAAGGGTTTCTTCACAGTAAGAGCTGTGAAAATGTGGAATAGACTCCCTCAAGAGTTGGTTCTGGCCAGCTCAGTGGATTGCTTTAAAAAGTCCTGGATTCTTTCTTAGATACACAGAATATAACTGGATACTAACATTTATAGGTAAAGTTGATCCAGGGAATATCCGATTGCCTCTCGGGGGATCAGGAAGGAAATTTTTTCCCTGCAGGAGCAAATTAGATCATGCTTTGCTGGGTTTTTTGCCTTCCTCTGGATCAACTGTGGGTATAGGATTATAACTTTTTTTTTTTTTCCTTTAATGGTTGAACTGGATGGACTTTTGTCTTTTTTAGCCACACTAACTATGTAACTATGTAACTTCTTATTCTTCGGGACAGGAATGTAGTGTTCCCTATTCCCATATCCATATCTCCTCTGTCTGTTGGTTTGCTAAGATACTCATGCCTTGGATCCTTGCTCACCAGGTTATTATGATATATTTGTATGTCATCTATATGTAAGTTATCTGTCAGCAGTCAGTCTCACTTCCCTTTTATGTTGTGTCTCTGGATGTCCAACATTTGTCTCATGGTTCAATCCATCTCACTTCCTTAAAGCTGATATGAATAATGCAGAACATATCAGTCGCTTCCCTGCCTGAAATAACATAGACTGTTGATAACACACCAATAACTCCAATTCCCATAGCCTATTGCTTAGTGGTTATATTTGAATCTATTCTCTTTTATCCCAACCACGGCACCACCTGCCTGGAGTTTGCATGTTCTCCCTGTGCCTGCGTGGGTTTGCTCCGGGTACTCCGGTTTCCTCCCACACTCCAAAAGACATGCTGGTAGGTGAATTGGATCCTGTCCAAATTGGCCCTAGTATGTGTATGTATGTGAGTTAGGGACCTTAGATTGTACACCCCTTGAGGGTTAGGGACTGATGTGAATGTACAATATATATATGTAAGGCGCTGCATAAATTGACGGCGCTATATCAGTACCTGAAAAAAATGAAATACATTT